ATATAATTAATATATATATATAATTTATATATTTTATTATATCATTATATAATATACATGTGTTCTTCTATATATTTCCGTACATTATTATCGTATTGAAGCTTGCATTAGTTAGTCTACATAGCGAATATTCTATATATAGATATATACTTGAAGACATCTACATCTATATATCTATATATATATATATTGTATGTATATGTTGATCGACGTAGCGACCGAGCATTGTGCATCTAAATAGCAAACAAATATAGGAGATTCAGATATTAAGCAAACACGGGTACCTGTGTGACGTCCCAGACTCTTATGGTCTTATCCTTGGACCCACTAAGCAATTCACCCCTGGTACATATATCGGCATCCATGTCATCCGACAAAGCATCTACTGTGTGTATATCTCCGGTGCTGCGGGCAATACACATTTAAGCAAAGAAACAGACACCAAGAAGAAATTACAATGTGCAATATAAGTTTATTCGGATTTACTATCGCGTTGCGTTTTAGGCCAGCGAAATGCCTGCCTTGCTTGGCAGCTACTACCCAGATGATCCGCATCTACTATCTCTTACTTTATATTGACACAGGCTTTGATCCAAGAAGACAGATGGTGGGCATACTTGTGCTGTATACTGCATAGACTGCCGTGTTGCCATCTCTGAATGCCACAGGCACTGACATATCAACGTAGCACGGACTCACAGCAGAAAGCCACCCCATCCCATCCCAAAGACCGATAGATCGTGACCAAAGTACCAACAATACGCGACCGGCGTTTATATACTCAACATAGCCTCGATCATGAAGTGACAATTGAAGAAAAGAAATTCCGCATACAAACATCGACTTATACAAGGACATAAATATTATATTACACATCCTTTTGTACTACTTGTTGGTAAATATATTTACATACATGGATGCATGATAGTGGTTTCTAGATATTTGATCATAAATATCACACACATATATTCTCCTATATATATATATATATATATACATATATACATATACATATGCATGTATATACATATACATACACATACATATATACAGACACACACACACACAGACACACACACAGACACACACACATATATATTTATGTATATATAGATAGATATACACACATACATATACATACATATACATACACATACATACATACAGACACAGACACAGACACACACATATATATATATAGATATATAGATAGATATAGATATTTACACATACACATACATATTCATATAGATATATATATATACATATATATAAATACACACACACACATACACATACATAAATACATATATATATTAAGATTTACTTACCAAAACTACATACGTACATAAATAGATGACGCACAACACAGCGCTCAGGAGAAAATAATCGAACGCACATCACTCACAGTAGACACAAACACAACAAAAATGATATTATCAGGAAGGAAGCGTCTTTATAATTATACTATAAGATTTTTCATCGTGAATAAATCGTAATAGAATCAAGCACTTGCGTTTCTATCATGATAGTCTATCGCCGTTGCACTCTAAAGCCTATAGTTGTTAGAAACACACACGACCGGCGTTTATATACTCAACATAGCCTCGATCATGAAGTGACAATTGAAGAAAAGAAATTCCGCATACAAACATCGACTTATACAAGGACATAAATATTATATTACACATCCTTTTGTACTACTTGTTGGTAAATATATTTACATACATGGATGCATGATAGTGGTTTCTAGATATTTGATCATAAATATCACACACATATATTCTCCTATATATATATATATATATATATACATATATACATATACATATGCATGTATATACATATACATACACATACATATATACAGACACACATACACACAGACACACACACATATATATTTATGTATATATAGATAGATATATACACATACATATACATACATATACATACACATACATATACATACCACATACATACATACAGACACAGACACAGACACACACATATATATATATAGATATATAGATAGATATAGATATTTACACATACACATACATATTCATATAGATATATATATATACATATATATATACACACACACACACATACACATACATAAATACATATATATATATATATATTAAGATTTACTTACCAAAACTACATACGTACATAAATAGATGACGCACAACACAGCGCTCAGGAGAAAATAATCGAACGCACATCACTCACAGTAGACACAAACACAACAAAAATGATATTATCAGGAAGGAAGCGTCTTTATAATTATACTATAAGATTTTTCATCGTGAATAAATCGTAATAGAATCAAGCACTTGCGTTTCTATCATGATAGTCTATCGCCGTTGCACTCTAAAGCCTATAGTTGTTAGAAACACACATACCTCCATTTCCAGCTCAACGATTGAATCTCGTCCACATGACCGCTAAGTCGATGCATAACACAACCCTTCGCAGTATTATACACCACTACCGATCCCTTCTTATAACCTACAGCCACTAGAGTGGGCATAGCTGCGTTACGAGACACCGCCATACATGTAGCAGCGCCGCTCTTCTTGCACACTGTATGTATTCCTGAATTGGCACTGGCACTGGCACTTTTTGAGATTGTATTTGTGTATATGCTAGAAACAGAGTTAGAGTTCATATGCATCGGCCCACTCATGTTCCCGACATGCGTGGTCGGCTTCGATAGTACATTTGTGCTGCTGTTAATATCGAAAGCACTTGATTCAACGTGTATAAGTACGAGTGTGCCCGTCTGGTCTAAAGCCAGCAGTTCCGCTGAATCGAACGCACTCCACGCCACTGCCACAACACCAGAATCACACACACGCGTATAGGTATGTACACACATACTTAGTTGTGTATTCCATATATACACATGTTTATCTTCCGAGCCGGATGCAAGTAAGGTATGTGTGTGCGGGTGTGGGTTGAAGTCCAAACAAGCAACACGATCAGAGTGTCCGGACAGTGTGGCTATCATACGAGGCCTGATCTGTGGTTGTTCGTCAATATCACTATTCACCCCAAGGGATGAACTTATCTGTGTATGCGATCCGTAACCCATCCCAGTTTGTGACTGTGAGGTTGCGTATATATCACTACTAACTGTACTAACTGTGCTATTCGCATCCATTAGTACCACTTGTGACTTTGAACAATAGGCAAATATAGTGCTCCACCTGTCACCTGCCATGACCTGTGGGCCGTACCAATTGGGCGACGGTGGCAGAGTCACGTCCCGCATATTGACTACAACTACTTCAATGTACGAGTGCGTGAACAGCTGACTTGTAGCCACTGTGTATTTACACATTTGTATAATTGTTCCACATTTAGAAGGCTATAAATACATAAATATGGTCAATGTGTATGTTGTTGTTTTTTAGAACAAAAAGAAAAACTCAAAAAAGTATAAATAAAAAACACAGTCTTTCTCGTGCGTGTTTGATTTATTTAGAAGAAAGTTAATATATATCTGTTTGTTCATAGCCTTCTATTTAAAAATAGACAGTTTGATCTATTTAGGAGGCTCTTTTGTCCTACTGATCTACGATTATAAACAAAAAACAAAATAAGCGCGGCAAATATTACGCACGCGTGGACGTGTCCACATATGGGTGCTATTCCAATTGCACACGCCCATGTTTTTGAAGCACCTAGCTACTCACTGCTTTTTATACGTACACATGCCACGTTATTAAGAATTCTTATCTCTGTGACCACAAATGGGGGCGATATTCTGAGTGACCACTGCTTTGTAAACTTTTTTGGTACCATATATGATTTATGGTCTACTTGTACTAGGTAAACGGAAATGTGTGACCGGATAAGTGGTTTCGAATGAATAATACTCGAGATTCCAAATATATAAGTAGCTCACTGATGGCAAAGAAATAATAATATATATATTAGAGCCTTGCGACTTTCACTACCTGAAATTTGATAAAATACCCGACTTGAGCTAGTAGTGTTTAGCCTCCAACGCTAGAGTAGAAGCGCCGCAACGGTGATAAAAAATACATTGCGGTTGATGAGACTTATGACGATATGGTCTTCATATCGCACCATGTCCAGGGTACTGCGGTCAGTTGCTTTTCTGGTATTTCATTTATTTCTGGTTTACAATGGACACTGAAGTTGCCGGAGCCTACTGTGGTCAACTGTGCCCACAACACACATACACAATACTCACAACCTCACAGTTCAATTGCTTGAATGGCATCCTCTTCACACTACTGGGGCCTACCAACCATGCACAGATTCCACAATTTCGTGACTGGCTAACAATAACGTGTGATATATTCTCATCTTAAATACTTCCTCACACCTCGAAACCGACAGCTGTTCATCCCCACAACAGCAAAACCGCATATCACTTTAAAAATATTTATACTTCCCATACTATATATCATATACATATCACTAGGGTAATACACCATACCCGCCCCACCCTCATCCCAATAAACTCACACACTATGCCCCGACTTGGTGCTGCTTGGATATTTTATGACAATTTCCTGGCTGTGACAAGACTCTCGTAAAGATCAATTTGTCGCCGTTGGCTTTCCTACAAGACACCCGCAACTCTTTGCAATCCTACATGATCGCGTCTTTCCCCCGCCATCTCGTGGTCAACCGTCCAACTCTATTTCAGGCGCAATGTACCTTGTTGTTCTGATCCCTAGCCGCCCTCTTCCACGATTCACTACAGAATGGCACACACTTGAGAATACCCGCTCTATAGATCCTTATTCCCATAGAGGTACGACACCCATAACACGACATGGAGCAGATTATCACTCTACTCCTACAATACCACCCACTGTCAGCTAGCCCCATTTGTATTGTATGCTACCGTGAATTACTATTTGCTGCTTGATCCACACAGTGAACATAGTAGATTTCCAATTCACCCTATCTAACGCAATAATAACGACTTTTTTAGCCGAAAAGCCGGCATTACCGGTCGAGCTAAAGCAATATTTTGTTTATTTACATGCATACATAGCCCGTATCGGCGTATTATTTCGGTCGTACGATCGGGGTCATACTCCTCGGTGATATATAATACAGCCTACAATCTTCATTGGTGATTCAAATATTCCATTGGCCCCCGTTTATGTTTGGGAACAAAATTATGAACTTTGCCATCCCAAAATTGCAGTATTCTCATTGATGTGGTGGTTATTATTACCAGTTCTGTGAAAATCAGTCAAACGCAGGGTCATAATCCCAGCACGTATTATATGACTGTGTGACCCGCGATGTTTCTGGGTTCAGGGCAAGTTTCCATTGGATATCGTAAACTCAGCTATAAAATTGACTGGATGCCCCGCCTAAGGAATTTGCACTACCTACTGTGTCGTACATTATGAACACAGAGAACAACACGAGAATATATAATATTGTAGTGCACAAAAACACGCTAAATCAGTATGTAGCTTATTATAATCAAGCCTAGTGCCGAGAACCTAGTTGTATACAACGCCATCACGCGTACACCCGAACTTCCTGAAGTGTTTTATTAGAAGTCCCATCCCCCGAAGGCCGAAGGTCCGAACCCGGAACCTGTTGTGGTGGTTTTTTTTAACGTAAGTATGTTTGTTTTTAGAGTGAAAGACGCAACTCTACAAGTATTTTATATGTACATATTTATAATATTTTATAAAAAAATATAAACAGTTTGTAAGACTAAGAAGTAAGAACACAACCTCTTTTTTGTTTTTGTTTTTTAAATACTACCTGCATTACTCACATCTAAGAAATTCTGAATTCTGACAATTATCGTCACACTCTACCATCATACCGGCATACCCTCGCCCCCTCGCCCCTCTCGATTATTCGCTTATACTCGTCATGCCTGAAATTCACTCCATCGTCATCGCTCATCAGTCATCAATTCATCACTCATCAGACATACAAGAGTCATCAACTCGTTACCTTCAAATATCAATGAACAAATTCAAAAATCAAAAGAAGCTGTTGTTGCAGCTGCTGTCTGCAGTTTACTGTCAGCTTTCAGTACTCAGCACTCAGCAGGCAGAAATAGCAGGCCAGCAGCTAAATATTTACACAGTCATTGTAAATTTGTAATGAGCAAGTCATAAATGTTGCTTGGCAAGTTGGTAGTTGAACCTTGAGCGGTGTTGACTGTTGAGTGTTGAGTTGTTGGCAGTTGGCAGTAGACACTTGGCACTGCCTTGACAGTGGCCAATAAATACAGTGAATACAGTGACCAGTGAGTCAGTGACCGGTGACCAGTGACCAGTGACCAGTGACCAGTGACCAGTGACCAGTGACCAGTGACCAGTGACCAGTGACCAGTGACCAGTGACCAGTGACCAGTGACCAGTGACCAGTGACCAGTGACCAGTGACCAGTGACCAGTGACCACTGACAAGTGACTAATAACATGTTCGTTGCTCTAGATTCTCAGTTTCCGACTCTTAGAGTATCACAAGTATGTAGTTGGAGTTGCTACTTGGCAGTCTTGTAAATAAATAACTAGGAGTCCTGGACTCCTCGACCTGAAGCCTGAAGGTACATACTACCCAGAGAGTGTGGCAGACTGGCAGAGAGTCAGTGACCACTGACCAGTTAGTTAGTTTGGCAGTGACCACTCAAAGTCTCACAATTGACAATTGAGAATCTCGCTGGGAAGATATTTATGCTTGCTGCTTGGGTGCTGGACAGTCTGGGACTCTGGGCCCTGGGGACTGCTGCAGTGCTGGGCCTAAGAAAAAAAACGACGAAGTTTTTGTCTGCCGCTGATCCTTTTATCTCTGGAGTTCTCTACTAGACTCCTGTCTTGGCCTTGGTCTAACTCAAGCTGAGTCAACTCCTTTTTATTATAAAATTTATAAATTATAAGTATTTACACCTCTCTAGACTTGTACTGTTGTACAGTGATGTTTTTATTTAGTTGTCACTTGTTACATAGGAGTGAGCCTTCTGAAATCGAACATCTTGCTCTTTTTTAAAATCTTCTCTCATCTTGCTCTTTTTTAAATCTTCCCTCATCTTTAGCTTTGAGTCCGTGTTGTACCAGTCAAACAAGAAAAATCAAAAAGGCTAATATGGTGAACAAAAAGAAATCGATTTCCCCAAATAGGATCGCAAAGTGGTATTTGGCATGTTATTTAAAAAAGAAAGCCAAAACTGCCTTGTGAAATTAGGCCTTTTTTGAAGAAGCCAAACATATAGTAAATACATACCTGGAGCGGCAATTATGGGGAATTCCAAATTGTGGACCACGTGACCATGTTTTCAATTTTCAAACGAAATTTTTACAAACATATATTGAGATGAGTTTTTAAGACTGCGACCAGGCCAATCTTTTTTTGAGAACTATGGGCTATGTTACTTTTTTTAATTTTAAATAATAAATAAATAAAGCACATAGCCCTCTAAATACATAGTACATACAAAATACTGTATGTAATTTACTTTATTGCTACATATTTGTTTTTGAAAAGTAAAACAAACATAAGAAACAAAGCAAAACAAACAAGAGAAACAAAAACGAAAATTTACAGACTTCAGACTCAGAGAGTCAGAGAGTCAGAGCTACCAAGTCCAGACTCCAGAGTCCACTCCAGAGTCCAGACCCCGGCGAGGACACACTCTGGGCTCTGGCGAGTCTGACAGAGAAGTGAGAGAACCAGTCACCACTTTTTTATTTATCTTAAAAAGAAGTATTTAGTATTTACCGAGTCTCTCTTGAATCTTGGGTCTTGATCAGACTTGAACTCTTGTGTCTTGAGTCTTGAGTCTTGACCGTCGGGCCTCGGCCCTCTTGAGACTTCTTGAGTACCTCGCTTACGCTCTCTAGTCTATTTATGATTTGCTTTGTGTTTTGCTTTGCAAAATACCGAAAATAAAACAAAAATATCTTGCCCTTTTTTATTGTTGTTTTAATAATAAAAGTGAGAGCAAGTTTCTGAACCATCAAAGATATTTTAAGAAAGACAATAGAAATCTGGAAGAGTTGGCGAGTAATCTCAAAAATAAAAGATACTCAAACGAGTAACAAAACTACAAGTCTACAACAGGTTGAACAGGATCAACAGCTTTACAAATACAAACCGATTCGAGCTCGACTCTTGGACTCTTGAGTCTCTTCAGACGCTACTCACTATTCTAGAGAGATCCAGTTAGTTCGCGATTTGTTCTATATCTTTCGTTACAGTCACCAGTACATAACAAAATTCTTTCTTCACCAAATATGGATCGCGATATCAGATTATTGCCCACACCTTTTATTGCAATAAATGTTGACAGAAAAAACTCAAAAAGGACATTTCATTCATAGCCTACTATAAATCATTTCATTTGTAATATTTTTGTAAAAATAAAACAAAATAAAGGTCAAACAAAATTCAAAGGCCATTTTAAAAGAATTACAAAAGCAAGAGAGTTATTAATAATTTTTCAAAATCAAAAATTGGGGGTTCTATTTCACAAAGTTTAAAAAAAGCAATAGAAAGAGAAGAAAATAAATGGCAAAGCAGCGGCCAGAGGGCCAGAGCCCTGTCAATAGTTGCAGCAATGCAGCAGGCCAGCATCAGGCCTTTGTATAGTGGTAAGGTGTCGTACTGTACAACGAGTCTGGACTCTGCCAGTTTGGAGTCTGGAGTCCGGACGCTGGGCTCTGGAGTCTGTGCACAGACTATGACAGTATGACTACATATTATGCTTTTAAAAATAAATATTTGGTCTGTTTGCAAAATAAAACTGGAAGGATCCCGGATTGATCACTCACTGATGGAAAGTGTGAGGCATTGAGGCTGTGAGGCTTGAGCCACTGTGTGAGGCTGTGAGGCTGATAATTGTGAACTTGTGAAGTTGTGAGCCTGTGAGGTCTATTTAAAAAAAAACAATAATACTAAATTAATACTGTATATATTCACATAAATAAATAGATGATTGCTCTTTTAATTGTTTTTAAAAACAAAAAAACAAAAAAGCACATTGATATTTCTGATCTGGTATACGATATGATCGTTTTGTAATGTGACAAGTCGTATTGGAGAACGTCTTTCTGTTGTCCTATATAATGCGCCATGTCGTTGCCGCGGAGGGTTTTTAATTTTTAATATACATAGTGCAAATGCCTTTTAAAAAATAAATAAAGATAGTCGTCCAAATGACCATGGAGCACGAAATAATGACCCGGTTCGAGAGTTTGAACTTTGATAGCGGAAAATGCTCAGGGAGACCTGATCTGAAATATCACCCAGACATATTTTTGATATTGCACCTGCTTCAAAACCTGATTCTGACTGATTTGGAAAATTATGGCCGTTTTTTCAGTATACACCTCATCAGTACGAATTTTGGACTTTTAAGGCCAGAAATCGACACGCCCGGTCATTTATAAAATCTGTCGAACTATCAAAATATTGAAATTGTTATTCATTCAGGTCAAAAAGAATATTTACATCCTTAAAAGTTCAGTGCAGCAATCACAGAAGTATTAGTATTATAATACATATGCCGCCAGAGAAGGTTAAGCATTTGAGTGGCGGGAGAGTGAAAACTGGATACAATTTGACGCTTTGTGAGGGGTGCCTATCGCTACCTCGATTACTATGATAACCATTGTATCATACATACTTGCCATTCTTGAAATAAATAATATTATCCCTATGATAAGTATCTTACTCTGCAACTTGCCAAGTTTGCGAAAAGAAATATACTTCTCATCGACGTGTACCTAAGAATGCATATGAAATAGTCACCGCCGAGATGGCTAAAAAGAAATGAGCCAGCAGAAGTTTAAGTACTGTTTTATTATTTACTATACCCCAGAGACATTCTGTATGGACAGATCTCGCATTGTAACGTTACCTTTTCTGTAGGATAGTCTTCTACTATCAAAAGACACAATCAGTTCTGAGACATGTGGGCGTGGGCAATGTCAAGGTCTCCACATTGGCCGCCCCAGTTCTATATATTGGCCACTTCCAAATAGCCAAAATGTTTTGGGCAGTTTTAGCTTCCTCACAACCAGCATAATTCGGAATTCCACCACGCAAGCCGATTTTGTAAAATCATTTTTTTCCGCGTGTAATTCGCATTTTGTTTAAATAAATAAAAATTTGGCCGACTATCTTTAATAATAAAAAAGGCAACTGTACCTTGCATAAGGCATTTTTAAAAAGAAACAAAGAAATAAAATAGTAATAACAGTTATGCCCCAGTTAAAAAGACAGCTAATCATATCTAAATATCTCCATTGGCTGCTATAAATACTGCGACTCAGTACTCAGTAGTCAGACTTGTACTCAGTACTAATTAGTCCGTACTCAGAGTCACTGAGTCAGTAGTCGTACTGTCGTTGTCAGGACAGTTGTTTTTTTTGGGAATTCAGGTTGACACTGTCACTTGACTACATGTGAGTGACTTGTCACTGTCAGACAGTTGTTTTTTTATTGTCCGTTTTATAAAAACAAATCTTAGCCTTCTGAAAATAGAACACATAATTTTTTACTTGCACTTTTTTTAACCCTAAATTTTAATAATAGTTCTTTTTAAAACAATTTAATGTGACATTTTTTCGGTGTTGTTTTAAAATAAATCGATAAAAATAATACGAGTGGTGTACGTTTAGTTTGCTATTTATTTTTACATGTCGTACATGTTTTTTTTAAAACGACAGAAAGTGCGATAGCCATTTTTTAACTTTTACATCTATGACTGCGCCATGCACACGATGCAGCTCTTTTGACTTTTTGGTTTTGCAGTTTGCACTTTGCAGTCCTCAAGGCAAAAGACCTCAACTGCAACAGTCAACACAGGGCCACAGGCTCAAAACTCCTCATCACTCACACACAAGGAGATATTGTAGAGAAAAAAGAAGACTGAAGACCCCAGTCTGAGGCTCAGACTCAAGAGTCGCAGAGTCCCAAACTCCAGCATTCCGTCCGGGACAAGAATATATCACTGATCTGCCCTCTACTCTAGAGTAGAGAGCAGGAGGCAGCATTAAAAAATGCCCGAAAAATATTCTTTTCAAAATAAATATCCAACTATATTAGCACCAGCCAGAAGCCAGTAGCCACCATGCCGCCAACCAGCCATCGTCGTGTGCCTTATGCCTTAGGCGGTTCGGATATGCTACTTTTTTTTAGGGTCCCCCCCCCTGGATATTAGGACTTTTAGTACATTTTGGATTTATAAGTCTGTAGTACATATATGACTTTTCTGGCCCCTGTGCTCGCCAAAATTAGTATCAAGTGGGGTCATATTTTCGTAGACAGTAGAATATTATTTTGTCGATTATATAAATATTCCAACAAACGCGTCGTTTACTGCACATTTATGTACTGTGAAGTATATGGGATTGTGGTACAAGTACGCAAAACCGTACTGTGGTCACACTTGGTACAATTTATAGGGGCCCGGGGGGGGGGATCCAGACATAGGTCAGGTCAGATTTATAAATTATAAATGCCCCCTCCCGCCCCTGCTCATTTTGGGGCCTAAATTGAAACAAAGTAGCACATCCGAACCGCCTTACTGAAAAGTTGAAGTTGTGTCGGAACACAATTTTGGACGCTATGGCCAATTGGCCACACAGGGCGGACACCGCTGGGCAGCCGGGGACAGGGCGACAGCCGACAGGCGCACAATTCCCCACGAGTCCACGTCTCCGAGTCCCACACTCTTCACAGACCATGACTTTTAACTGACTTGTGGTTGGACAACTTGAGATTTGTTCAATGTAATACATATATAGAGTCCTAACCTCACTACGTTTGCCGTTAAAATGCAAAAATATCAACAAAAAATATATATAAGCGTTTACGTTCAAAGTTTATCATAAATATAGTCCTATGGGTTTACAAATAGGTACAATTTTTGAGGCGGCCTAACTGTCACGAATTGTCCTATTTTTCACTTTGTATCAGTTGTGAATAGATTCTATTCGCCTTTTCAACAAACAGGGTTAATTTCTCAGGTGCAAATTTAGTTAATTTTCATTGTCAATTTGCCCCCGATATACTTGATAAGGCTTTAAAAAAGCTTTTCGCGTTTACGAAGTTTATCGCGTATAGGTAAAACGTATTGAGCTTAGAAATAGACGGTTATGTTTTGTGTATTGTTTTCCTAAAAAACATTCACAAATCAAAAAATAAACAAACAAAAAACAAATTTACAAACACATTTAAGAAAATAAAAAAAAATAAAAAACAAACAACAAAAAAAAATGTAAACATCAAATTGGTGTACGGGCTTCGGCGGTCCACCTAGAGGGAGTTAGCCTTCATACTTTCGCCATAGCTGCTATTACTCATGCGGAGTTACGTCTGACTGCCTGACTGCCTGACTGCCAGACCGCAAGTGCAACTCTACTTGTTTTTTTAAAGAAATAATGTGCCACATGTCTGACAGGTGCCGAATAACAGAAATTCAATGTAAAAGCTATATATAAACACAAGCACGATACTTGCAAGAGTCAGAACGAATCTGAATTGTACGTGTGCATAATCGAGTGCGATGAGCATGCTATTGACGATTTGTGCGCTCGCCTTACTGGTGGGTCCATCCCAATTTGTGTTGGGTCAGAACAATGAAGTTGGCACGAACCCACTGGTCACGCAACTCTTCGATAATGCAACGCAACCCATCGGTATTACAATGCTACCCATCGTTAATACAACGCTACCCATCGTTAATACAACGCTACCCATCGTTAATACAACGCTACCCATCGTTAATACAACGCTACCCATCGTTAATACAACGCTACCCATCGATAATACAACGCTACCCATCGATAATACAACGCTACCCATCGATAACACAACGCTACCCATCGATAACACAACGCTACCCATCGATAACACAACGCTACCCATCGATAATACAACGCTACCCATCGATAATACAACGCTACCCATCGATAATACTACGCTGCCCATCAATAATACAACATTACCCGTGAATGAGACTATGGTGCCCACAGATAATACCACGGTGCAAGTTGACAACACGACGTTGCCTACTAACAATACCACTCAGGCAGACGGCAACACTACTCTGCCGACAGAAACCCCCACTGAACCATTTGGAATTGTCAATGTGACTGCGTTGAACATCACTATGCTCGCCAATGTAACATCCGTATGTGAGTGCGAGACAAATATCATGCACAATACCAGCTGCTATCAGACATTGGCGGACGCTATAGATGCGGCAGAAGACGACGACACAATATTTATAGGAGGTCGTGTGTACGTTTCTGAGCCTGTGCAGTATACCAAGAGTATCACAATCGCGGGGTCGTCCTGTTCTGATAACGTTGATGAAAATGCCAAGCTCATTGCTAATTTCAATTCACCTCATGGGGCTATTTTAGAGATGACAAACATGCCACGCCAATCTCTGAATCTGTCAGATATCGAAATTACAAGTGGGGGGGGCCTTCTGGCAGCTGCAGTACACGGGCTTCTTGAAGAGGTGGATGATGTCGCGCAGAACATTGGATTCAACTTCTCAAATGTGTATATTCACGATATGGACAGCAATGAAACTGGTATAGCTGCTGCTGCACTAGGTACATTCGGTTCAATGTTCGACGAAAAGTGTGTGTTTGCCAACCTTTTTGCAGAAACGAATGATACCGACAACTATCACGGAGGTGCGGCAATAAGACTCGATTACAACAATGGACGCTTAGATATTCAAGGGGAATTTAGCAACAACACTGTTTCTTTTCCCTACCCTGGAACAAGACACGCAGGTGGTGGAGCAATCTATCTGGATTACATGGATGGGGTAGTAACAATCGGTGCTACTTTTAGAAACAATATCGGTAATCAGGGAGGAGCCGTCATGATACAAGGCCTTGTAGGCGATTTGGTGGATAATGGTACATACATTAACAATCTAGCAAGAGACGATGGAAACAGTGCAAGGTTCGGTGCTATTGGTATCTTAAAACTGCACGAGTATGCTCGGGCACGAATGATGGGAACTTACACTAACAATACAGCGCAGGGTCGAGGCGGCGCTCTTGGAACCAACATGCACCTTGCAGGATCAGAATTCAAGATGCAAGGCCATTTTGAGCGCAATTATGCGATGTCAAAGGGTGGTGTATACGGTGTTCAATCCGACACTGATATGCACGGCACTGTTATGCTGGATAGCAACTGTACCTTCAAGGACAACGTCGCCAATGAGGACAACAATCGTTCCAGTATCTATTATATCAAAGAGGACGCGCAGTATTTCTCCGAAGAAGAGTGGAAGGGCGAAGCGGTGTACATCAGCGAAATCGACCCAGAGACCTCGTCACGTCCTAGTGTCACGCCAAGTGCGACGCCCTCTACAAGTGTCAGCCCCAGTCCTAGTCCTACACCTTCAGCAACGGCAAGCGCATCACCGACTGCCTCGGCAAGCCCGAGCGCGACCCCCACACCCAGTGCAACGCCTTCCATGAGCCCAAGTTTGACACCATCGATCAGCCCAAGTTTGACACCATCGATCAGCCCAAGTTTGACACCATCGATCAGCCCAAGTTTGACACCATCGATCAGCCCAAGTTTGACACCATCGATCAGCCCAAGTTTGACACCATCGATCAGCCCAAGTTTGACACCATCGATCAGCCCAAGTTTGACACCATCGATCAGCCCAAGTTTGACACCAACCATTAGCCCAAGTGTGACTCGTGATCCAATGGAGTGAGTATGAACCTGCACTCGTATTCCAATTTATCCCGAAGATTAGTGTGTTCGACAACACACGGCCGATAATATGGCGTTGGTGCATCTGTAGCTTGTGTAGTCAAAACTCTTGTTGTTTTGCCACCAAAATAAAGTTTAGTAAATAAGGGCGATTGCCCAAATCCACCTTTTCGTTCATTGTTTATATTCGTTTGTATTATCGAGTTGGAACCAGACCGCTGTTTTTCTGTTTATAGAGGTGTTCACAAGTAAAATCCGATTCTGATTGTACCTGTGGGTTTAACAAGGGGTTTCGCGCAGTTTTTAGAGAAGGAAACCCGTAAGGCTTAAGACTTAACGACTGTGTTTTGATCTGGACCCGATCGGACGAGTACTTCTCATGATACAACCCTCGAAAAATGCACACCTTCTTCAAACCTAGAATCGAGCTTTTTGGTGCACAAACACATGTATACTATGAATTACACCTGGATGTTCTAAAGTAAACATATGGTGATCAGCTGTCAGACCATAGGAATACATATCTTACAACAATAGGATAGCTTATAACACTATCAAGGAAGTTTCAGAATCCATCGTGCACACCATAGAAATAAGTTTCATGGAACATTAATGCAGATGACTTTCATCAGCGACAGAAAGACCATCACCAATACTTAAATAAGTGTTTACTCGTGTTAGGATTAATGAAGCACAAAAAGTATTTACAGGGTATATTTTCAGGTTATAATAGCATATGTGTATCTGAAAATATCTATAAAAATATAAAATCACTGTAATAAATTAAATATATGTAATTGTGTATACATATACATAAACATACATACATATATATATATAATGAATGAACATGGGCTGTCATTCATTATAATTTAAACCGCGAGCTTATATTATGTTTTAGGGTTTTCATATGTAGCCTATTAAATTATACAGGCAAAGTCCACTCTATTTTTATCATTGAAAGCGTGAGCTTGGGAAGTCCAGTCCAGAGTCCAGACTTTATTGACGACTTTTTTGTCTGTCTGTCTGTCCGTCACAACTTCTGCATAGATAAAGGCCCCCTATATGTTCTGCGTTCGGTATGAAAAAGCTAATAAAATGGCCCTCTCAAAATAAGCTAAAAAACCAATCAAAAACCGTTGCGCATCAGATTTTTTTGGATGGGGTACGGGTTTTCTTTTTTTTAAACGTAAACATTCGAATCCGCAACCTATATATGTGTGTAATTAGGTTCAATTATAAAATGCCAAAAAAAGTATTGCTAAAAATTGGAATTAATTGACACTGTACAACTTTACCTAATAATGGACGTGAGAAGGTGTTTTGTTTGTTTTTTTAAAAACAAACAAACAAAAAACAAATAAAAAAACAATCAATAAATTCAAAATCAAAATCAAAACCGAAAATATTTACATATTTAAATATTGACGTCATACAGTACCGTACACGAGACTTTGACTACATATTAATCATGATATGATTGGTAGCGAGTTTATTTTTCTTATTCGCTGCTGTGGTAACGTCGAACTTTGTTGTAAAATAAAATAAATACAACAGAAGGAACTTAAAAACTACCACGTACCAGAGGGTTTAAATAACACAAGTGACCACAAACCAGTGTGGTATTCTTGTTGTACTACTATGACTATTCTACAAGAAGTTGGGTACGCAATACTTCCCAGTACACGTCCAGAAGTACAGAAAGATCTAGCTACAAGGAGAATAGCACCGAAAGGTAGTGTGTTTAAAGATCTGGCGAACAACATCCACGATGGTAATACGCTCGAGTTATGGAGGCCGCGTTGGTACTTTACCTATTACGGTTTAGAATGCATCCAGGTGAGCAATTTTATTTTGTAATAGATACTAAAATTTAAGGAACTCAAAAAGAGAGCATGTCTTTCATATAGCAGCGCAAAGAAAGCTCGATAATGTATACTTCTACCATTCCAACATACACATACGCACAAACGCACGTGCACACACACACACACACATATATATATATATATATATATATATATATGTATATATATATATATATATATATTTATATATATATGAATATATAAATAGTAAATATATATATATATATATATATATATATATTTATATATATATATATATATATATATTATAAGTACTACATATATATGTATATATATATATATATATATAAGTAGACAAGTATATTTAAGGATATATAAACACAGATATAGAGACAGAGACAGAGACAGAGACATACATATATATATATGTTTATAAAGATACATATATATACATATATCCGATAAAATACACACAAATAGTAATTACCAACTATATGCACATAGGTACATACAAATGCCTTACCTGCACCAGCCCGTTACTTCTACCCACAGCCAAATAGCAACCGTCTGCACTGAAACAAATCTCAGTGGTCTTTCCATCCCCCACAGGGATCCCTTTAGACTTGGCATTCCCCGGCCTCAGTGAAGGTTCGACTCCCAACTTCAGTTGCAAGCCTGATGTCGTATCCTTCACTCCATGTGTTCGTAGATCTGTTTGGCTGGAAGCTTGCAGTCTCTGCGCTACCCCATCAGAGTGTGCTAGGGCTGTGGCCTTGAGGCTGGAGCGGTCTAATAATAAAGCACCCAAATCCACAGTTACAGGTTTCGCCGTGGGATCGGATAGGCTATGGGCGAAAACCACCCCATCCGCTCCGACCGACCACACAAAATGGGAGTGCCCGTCAAATATTTTGCCACAGGCATTCTTACTACTCGAATCTCGCTTCGCAATCTGGTTCATCTCACTCACACCCACAGAAGCAAGGTGCGTACTTTCCGCTTCAGTCTCCAGCCCACCTCCACGGCCGTGTGTTGCGTGTGCTTGTTCAGAGCTGGGGGTCTCAACGTGTGCACAGGTAGCCTTGGGGGGTATCACAACCCGGAACACCGAGCCTTTGTGGTAGCCTGCGAATTGTTTGTATCGATGTGCACCTAGGTCATACACACCCACGTGCCCTTCTTCGGTCGCATAAACCAGGTCCTGCTCCTTGCTGGGATGCCACACAAGCGCGGTAATCTGAACGTAGTTGTGGTCGTTGTTGAGTCAAGAATAAAGAAACAGTTGGCATTTAAACAATTGACTCGACGAGTCTTGTATAGCCCTGGCAGCAGGTAGATATTAATACTGCGATATACCCAGTTCTGTGGGCCTGATCGGCAGTTCAAGTCACACGTACGAAAGTAATCTCTAGTAGCATGAAGGCTTGAAAACGTACAAGGAATATCTATTCACTGGCATATGTAAAACCAATTCCACATTATCGAATAGTCAGTGGCAAAGACATGAGGTCTAGCACACCTTGGTTTGCAAACCCTTCCAGAAAATCTCACATTCGTACTCGTGCGTTGGGGCCACAGGCCTCACCATATTCGCCCTTGCCTTGCTTTTGTTGTTCTTGCGTTTCCCCTTTTTGCTGTAGAGGAGGTAATCAAATCGTATTGGGAAAATACAATCAGTACAGAATGTACACAGACAGCAACACGCCGTCTCTAATCTTTTACGTTCACCAGGAAAGCAATACACTGCCAAGTACGGATGTATAAAGACGTTGGCTATACGTCTTCTGGTGCGTTAAAAAAGGGGTTTTGGCCATCCTTTCTTGACTTTGTTTGCCATAAGCGACAGCAAGATCAACAGTGATCTCTGCACCTCAGAAAGTGAGTACATGCAACACAATACAACTCAATCGAACTCAAAACATATGAAACATACGCTCTACATATATTTTGACCCTATTACTCTAGTTGATTTGCATTAAGGTATGGCTACAGCCAGCCAGGTGTATATTAAAAGAGACACATACGGCACGAACAGGAGCATACAAAGAATACAAGCACGGGTACACAATCCAACACAGACGGACAAATTTGTCTTGACCAGGCTGTACAAGCCCTCGCAGGAAGCCACTTCAACCACGACAGTCATCGGTTGGACTCTTAGTTGCAGCTACGCAGGTACCAGAACTATCCACACCCACGCCCACAAAGCACATTAAACGAAAGCCTGCTTTCTGGTGGCACATCTCTCCACAATCACACACGTAGTTGATTTAACTGTGCACTGAATGTACCTCTTCGTAACGGGTTGAGCGATTTGTGGGACCGTGTTGGGTGCTCTCGCTGTCCCGAAAGCCGACCAAATTCGTAACGCTCCGTCACCCGCGGCAATAGCCACTTTCCCGACGTCTAGCACAGACGGTGTAACTACATAGGCATGACCACCGAACGTGGGGATGTTACACAAACCCTTTCGCAGTACAGCTGTGGCGGTGTCGTGCTTGTTCTCAACCGCGTTTGTACTCGCACTGGGACTGATGCTCATCTGTGTCTCGGTGTATGTGTGTATAAGCGCGTGGGTCTGTGTATCGGCGTAGGAACTCGGTTGCCCTGATAAATTCGCACTCTTCGGTGGTTGGGATACTTGCGGCACCGAGCTTCCGTTCCGAATACTGTGACGTGGTGTGCGTCGCGCACCCCAAACAACAATGGCCCTGTCCTGTCCAAAGCTTGCCAGCAGGTAGGCATACTTGGAAGTGCACTTCAGACCATCCAATATCGCTTCTCCATAATCCACACCGACCCTGGTGGTCGTATCCGCGCTCGAATGTGGGTCCATACCAATCGCACGCTCGCATCCATTTGCAGACGACACTGCCCGGCTTCCGATACATGAGCCCACACTGACTATATTGAACACTGTCCGCGTGTGTTTGTGTGCGTATTGACACACTATATGCTCGCCCGTGTCACTATCCATCTGTAATATCTCACCCGTGGACATACCCAGTAAGAACGTGCCGTTCTGCATTTCAACCTCAGATTCAATAGCCACCTCCCCCGTTTCAGATCCAGGCGTGTGCTTGGTCGCTGGTGTAGGTATGGGGCTGTCCATGGACTCTGGGCGTGTACGGGTAGTGGTATATGCACTAGTGGCTCTATGCGCAGCAGTTCCTTCGTCATCGTCCCACTTCACACACTCCCACACATGCTGATTGTTTCGGCCACCCCCGCCCGTCAACCTGGGGAGAGTGTGTTTCCTGTGCTGTCTCCCCTGGGTTAGGTGTAGACACATTTGCATGTGAGTACAACTTTTTATACTGTCCATACTATGATGAATGTAAGTCGAATTCGTTTAGACGCAGCACAAGATATCAATCTCCGGTGTAATATCTGACAGATTTCGTCCCTATCCATGCGCGAAGAAGTGATAGGTGGCAGATGTAAAAATGGCATTCCAAAGAAGCACAAGATTTCCCTTATGTGATGAAATATATGAAGTATATGAAGATACGTTTAAGGTTGTAGAAATCGATGGCAGTTATGTTTTCCGTAATAGCGATGAAAGTGTACGCACCGGTGAATCAATAAAACATTTACCATATACGAATTGAGGTGTAAAGCAAGTATACTACAGGTATCTGAGTACGAGATTAAACATATAGGAAATCAACGTTCATCCCACTTGCAAGTAAAAAATTGACAAGCGAATCGAGACAGCTGAGCAGCGAAGCCAAAAGCAGGATAGTAGAGTGTGTATATGAGTTATGTATATGCATTTGTGTTGTGTATATATATGTGTGTTATGTACAGGCATCTGTGTTATGTATATGTATATGTATTATGTATATGTATAAGTATTATGTATATGTCTATGTGTGTCACACAAATCAAGCAGCCTAGGCACGTCAAATTCATCTCTAACCACAAAGTGGATGAAAATTGTAGTTGACCGTCTAGGAACTATTAAAAAATCTACGTGTCCAGTATTGTCGTAATGATGACAAACAGCACATCAATAACTTAAGTCGATTCACAAAACGGCTTATACATATATACTTAAATGTGCATTGGAACGTAATATAATATATATATATTTATATCAAAGTAAGCAACTCTGGTCAACACAAAGACCGAGTATTGCAATTCTACATCGAAATTTATATATGTATACG